GACGCTGGGATCATGACCTGAGCCGAAGGCAGCTGCTTAACCAACCGAGCCACCCAGGCGTCCCTTCTTTGGTAAATATTAATTGCACACCTAATAATTACCAGTGACCATCTATGCTCTGGGAATATAGGGATACATGGAATAAATAAAGCATGGAACACAGGATGTAAATTTTCTACCAAGATAATATAGAGATAAAAGAAACGTAAAAAAATTGTGGCAATTGCAGATAATAAGAGTGATATTAATTTTGGAGTTGTAAGATGAGAACTAATTTATATAGCAAATAACTGCTGTCTAACAGATTTGAAACTTAAATGATAAAAGATAATAAGTGAAAATCATTCCAAAAGAAAGAATTGTAAATTCAAAGGCCTTGAGGTAGATTAATGTAAAGTATATTTAAGGCACAGATGCAAGACAGATTTGACTGGAATTTCATGGAGAGAGAAGAATGAAAGGAAGTGACATTAGAGAGGTAGTCAGAAATCAAATCAGGTGAGGCATTTCAGGCTTGTGTCTGGTGCTTGGAATTTGTTGTAAGCCCAAGAGGAAGTGATAGCTATAAGCTCTCAGTTTCTTCTGGGCTATTTCACGGCAGAGCTAATCAGAAACTGTGAGATTCTAGATAAAATTTAGAGATATTAGCATTTGTTGAAGAGATAAATAGGAACCAAATAAGAGTTGGAAGGTATAGCAAGTTAAAATAGAGGTCTAAAAATAATATTTTTACTATAACAATGTCCAGTTCAATATATGAGACATATGTATATCAATATATTATTTGCTATTAATCTAAAATTCCATTTTCATATAGGTATTTTAAATGTTATTTGGTACACCTAAGATCCCCAACATTCTTTGAGTATCTAGGGGAAGAAAGTTTCATGGACTTAGAAGGGGAAGACTGGAGAAAGAGCATGTTATAGGATGTAGGAGGGGAGGGAATAATATTCTGTGTTGAAGATGTTTGATAAGACTTCCAAATGGAGCTACTAAAATGAGCTCAGAAGGAAGTAGAGAGTTGGAAATAAAGATATAGTAGTCCTCTATATGTGGGTGGTATTGAAAGTGGTGGGAGTATCTGAACAGTGGAGATGAAAGCAAGAGAGCCAAGAGAAGGGGGAGAAAAAAATAAAGGTGTGATTACATGGAAATCTAGGGAAAGTGGTCAACAGCCAAATGAGTAGAGAGGTTAAATAAAATCAGAACAAAACTTGAGTATTGGGGGGCACCTGGGTGGCTCAGTGAGTTAAAACCTCTGCCTTCAGCTCGGATCATGATCCCAGGGTTCTGGGATTGAGCTCCGCATAAGGCGCTCTGTTCCGCAGGGAGCCTACTCCTCCCCTCTCTCTCTCTGCCTGCCTCTCTGCCTACTTGTGATCTCTGTCTGTCAAATAAATAAATAAAAATCTTAAAAAAAAACACAAAAAACTTGAGTATTGGGCTTCACAAAAGGAGACTGTTGGTGTGTAAGTAGAGTAATAAGGGGGAAAGGCCAAACAGAAGTGGGTTAAGGTTGAGGTGAGGGGGTGATTAAGAATAATATTAACTGTGTCATGGAATTGTGCCATAAATGGAGAGCAAGGAAAAAGCAAGGATGAGATCAAAAAAAGTTTCTAAGTTTGTTGTTTGTTTTTGTTTGTTTGTTTGTTTGTTTGTTTTTCAAGCTGAGGAGGTGTGTGATACGTTTCCATGTAAGTGAGAATTTTTCATTAGCAATGGAAGGTGAAGCAGGTTATATATATTTCCAGATGAGAAATCATTGCCTAAGCCAGTGTGAAGTCCAGAGTTCAGGAAGAAAGTGTGCCCTTAAGGAGAAAGAAATGTGCTTTTGTTTTACTAGCAGGAAATGTAGACTACGTGGGTAGAGATCAGTGAGGTAGTAACTTCAATGCTCAGAAGATGAGTAGTTCTTATCTCATTGTGCACATCTTCTAACAGAGGTACATTTTGGAGGATTTTAGATGTGATCCATAAAAAACCAAAACAAAAAACATAATGTCTTA